TCCATATTTGCTAAATTCATCGAACTACTGTGAATTTTCTGGAAAATAAAAGATGTTTCTTTATCTTCCCGGAAATTCTGTAATTACTCATTTTCAAAAATCTGAACAGCTCAAAGACATTTGGTCCATCTTGATGCATATATTTTCTAAATACACCTGGAATCCCGGCTTGTGTATGTACTGTTGCTAAGAGTGTCGTACCTGTCAGATTTGTCTAGTATACCACATCCTATGAATCATGGCTAATTTGTGGCTAGCCTGCCTCTAGTGTTGAGAATCGACAATCTTTGACAGTGGTTTGTTAACACAGCTAAAGAGAACAACTGTTGCAAGTTTGATCAAAATAGTCGATCGCGTTCAGAAATAACGTCAAATGGAACTCGAAAGAAGAAAAAAATATTGTGCACACAAACACCTGGCAAATTCGGAGTGGTCCGGTTCCAAGTTGGCTAAAGAGCAGAAGATGCTGAAAACAACAGTTTGTCGAGTGCGTTAAAGCCAACCCCGGTCTTTCGATCCGAGATGTGGCCAGAAGGTACAACGCCAACTTTCAAACGGTGCGGAACATCCTTGCCAGGTAAGGATTCAAGTCGTACAAAGCCAGTAAACATCCGAACCAGCACATGAAGCAGAATTCCGTGGCCATAAAGCGTGCAAGGCTCTTGTGCGACCGTGTTTTGACGAAACGCAAGGGCTGCACTTTGATCGATGACAAAACATGCGTCAAACTAGATTTTTAGCAGCTTCCTGGTCAAAAGTTTTACATCGCGACTGGACGTGGGGATGTGCCGGGAAGATTCAAGTTCGTGTTTTCCGACAAGTTCGCGAAGAAGGCCATGATTTGGCAAGCGATTTGCAGTTGTGGCCTGAAAACGGAACTGACGACGATGACATCCCAAGTTTACATGGAAGAATGCCTGATAGATATCATACGATAACATAAATATCGATAAAATATTGTTTCTTCTAGTGTAGAACATTAAGAATAATAGTCAACATAAAGGACGTTAATTAAAAATTGTTGTTTGTGGTTCAATTTTATTAATTGCCTTTACAAAGTAACCTCGACCTGCATGACAACAGGGTCCATAAAAACACCAGTGTATAAAATTAAAACACCCAAAATACTGGGCATGGGAGCAGATGATTCTGGTGGGGACCAGGCTCCCTTGAAACCCCCCTTTAGCTACGCCAGTATTTCAATTTCTCGACCATTTTTGGCTAACATTATGTGTACAACATTTTCTTAAATTCAAGCTGAATAAATATGCCTGATTTTCTCAGATTAGGTCGGCCAAATTTTGAAATAAAAGTGGTAGTTGAACCTGAGCATGATTTTTTGGTGTGACGCCAAATCTATGATCGGGTGTGTAAGCTGGCGTAAGTTCTAGAAGGAGTGTGTGTGTGTGTGTATTTACAATCTAGCTCCCACTGACTGGCAGTGGTATTATGGATAGAATCCTCCTGCAACCATCTTTTATATAAGAAATTGCAAAAAACTTAAATCTGGGAGTTCGAATCGGTTGACAGCTCTATCGCAACTCCAAAAGTCCATTTCAAGAACGCAAGCATTCCGAAGCTATTTTCGTTTACGATATGCCCCGCTCCAATACATTTAAATGTGAGTATCATTAATAATATACATACAAGAACTTTCAATCACAGCTGTATTGCTTGATTGACGCGTATTTAATGAGTTGGAAATGTTTGTAGTATCACTAGTACTAGTAGTCGGAAATTAAGTATGAAAATATTAAAAAGGCTAAAATGGAACGAAATCACCAAATCTGGCCAAGTGAACTCAACAAGCTGGCCTGATGTGTTAGAAGGGAAGTCGCAATTGTAGATGGTTCGCTTCACCGGGTAATCCGGTTTGTGTTAGAGCTTGCATGGTATGTCCCAAATGTAGTCTTAAAACACCTCCTGGCCGTCCGACACAATCCGTGCACTGTGGAACTCGATTCAGGAAATTCAAGTATCCGTTCGTCACCAATGTCACTTTACTGTTAAAAAATCATCCGGAACAACGAAAAATCCAAAAATTTGACGGGAGGAAAATTTTTCGCTTCCACAGCACTTTTTGATCAGCTGGTGTAAGTTCTAGAAGGTAAACTAAAATTTACTTCCTAAAGCGAACCCCCCACCTATCAATATATTGATGCAAAGGGGAATTATTAACTATAATATTGATGATGTGAATTCAGAAATATTGTCAACACTGATGTTTTGTCGTCAATATATAATGCATTGACAATACGATTATTGTGAATAAGAGCCATTAGGTAGGGTCCACTTAATAGCGCTGCATGTGTCATCGTGCTTAAAAGACTAATGTTCAATAGGGGTAATGCCAGCCATCATTCCCACATCATGTTCAGCTATGTGATAATTACACCTGATTTCCATTGCTGGCTTTGCCAAACTCAATTTGATCCCCTAACAGGACCAACTCTGCGTTCAGAACCGACTAATTTCCGCTGTAACGGGACTCTTTTACCACAACTGGACTCCGTCTGCCTGGGATAACAAAAGCTATTTTCCACGCTAGCATTCAACCCGACAACGAACGGTACGGACGATGCGATGGTGGGAAAATGTTGAGGCCTACCTAAATCACGGTTGAGTAACTTTTTCCAGCGTTCCGCATCCAGCCAGACTTCCAAACCACAACATACTTGCGAATCGTAGGTATATGCAGAGCGGACGGAAATCTGATAAGCGTTCATTTATTCCAACAGCGAACTGAGTTGCTGGAACTGGCTGGTTCTGGGTCACCATTGGAATTAGCTTCCCGGATCCTTTGGTTGCACAAACGATAATTACATAGCCATTCGACAGGGAACCGTTCGAAAAAGGTGGTCCACTCTTCCAGGGTGTTTTGAGGTCATCTGGTGCGTGCGTGTGTGAGTGCGTAACTGTGGGTATTAACCACTTGCCGGTTGGTAGTTAATAATTGTGCACCGACCGGGGGTCATGTTGTAACGGAAAATCGAATTTTTAAAACTACCACGCGTTTCCATCGAACCAAGATCAAAGCCAAACCACTACGCTTCCCGGTGATAATTACTGCTGGAGTGCTGAATTACTGTTCGTCACAATGAGATGCCAACGGCTTCCGCAGGCTCCTTCCGGCTGTAATATTACCACCAGCTCCTCCCCCCTTTCCCTATCAACCAATAATGATCCCCACCCATAACTTGCGTAGCGTTTCCTCGTAGTCGTAGTATGAAATTTCAATAAACATTTAATTTACGATCTTTGAGCTTCCCCCACCCCGCTTGTCCATTTGTGCTGTCGTGCTCCCTCCACCCTTGTCGTCCAGATTTATGCTGGACCCCTTTAATGTATGGTTATTTGTGTGGCATCCCCCAAACACCTATCGATCCACCCTCAGTTTCCTCTCCCATACATATCTGTCTTGCTGTTTTCGAACGTGCACATTCCCTCAGGTAAAATTAATTAAATTCCATTCATTTTCAGCATTTCTCCGTCCATTCAAATTTCACTCTGGAGCTGTACGTATGAGATTGGGTGTGTGAGTGTGTGTCTTCCTTCTTGCCCCGCCCGTTTGTTGATTCAAAAACCAAACTCTGTTTACCCAAGGTATTAATTAACCGACCGGATGTATATTAATTTTAGTGCCCCACCGCGATGGCGATTTTTCCCCACCACCGCCCACTACTCACTCCACCTATCAATTCCTCTACACTATGTTTTGTCCGGATGGTGCTAAGCTTTGGTTTCCAGTTACAAAAATTGCGTTGTGGGGACATTCAGCGAACAATCTGGCATTTAATGGTATCATTGTAGCTTTACGGTGAATTGGTACTCAATGCGTACCAAGGTCAATCCATAGATTTAGTAGAATAATGTATGAAATGAGCGAAGTAAAACCTAGATTTAATGGAATTAATGAACTTGGCACAAATAAAAAAATACGAACATTTGATGACAAAAATAAGATTTTTGCGTAACTTAAAAGGGCCAATGTAACTTATTTTCTACAAAAAAAAAATTAGTTGAAGTTTGACTGACTAATTTATTAAAACGTTTGGTTCAAAACATTTTACAATACTATTTTTTTGTGTTCAGTGAAAATTTCACTGGAAATTCAGTAGGAACGGTAAAATTTCAATTTAGCTTTGAATTTCATGCTAAAATATAGAAAAAATCACATAAGATGTTTTGCTCCACATGATCCTATATTCCCTTTCACAGACTTCAGAATAGAGTACCTAACACTGGAAAATTGACTGATACCCTTACATATACCTTTAGATTGGTAAGTAACCGTCGGGTTTTTCAAACCGGCCATACCAAAAGTGTTCATTGTCACGAAAAAATGTCCTATGCAAAATTTGGCCTCAATCAGACATGTCGATAAAATCGATTTTCTGGCGCTTAGTGAAATTTCTGAAGTCAGGTGAGTTCAAACTTTGACCATTTTGCGCCACCCATGTACGATTGAGCCCACATTGTGTAAGGTCTTTATTCGAGGCAATGATCATTTCGTGTATGGACGGTTTCAATATTTTTTAATGGCGCCCTCATGAGCACGAATCATGTTAGGCTGACCAAATTTTCGGAGTAACAATCCAACACCCATCATTTCAAACTGACTTAAATGAATGAAAGTAAATTTGGATGGGTGTTTTTGTATTACGTACAATGATAGAAGAGCAATAAATTGCGCGCGAGATGTAATCTTTTATCTACTAGTCACCTATGACCGTTGATACATTCACTCCCTGGATACGTCCATGTTTATAAACAATGATACCATAAAATGCATATGATTCTGCTATTCAATTTTTCCCCATTTCCCCACTGAATACCAAAATTTATTATTGAAACCAAACCCAGCAACCTAAACAACACCAAAACAAATTTGCCTCGTTTTGAAAATGAAACAAAAACCACACCAACAAAAAAAAACATACACAAATCACACACTTAGCCCCGTGTTTTTTCATTAAATCATCATCCTTTCTCTCTTGCAGCAGCGTGGAAAGAATAAAAACCAGAACGAAACAGATAATACTGAGCGAGACGGAGTGCTAGCACTGTTTGTGTGTGTGTACCCCCCACTGGGACACGACGCCCATATCCGACGGTTTTCCCCCACGTGTCGTGTCGTGTCGTGTCGTGTGTGCCCGTGACCGGCTAGCGAATCCGCCGGGGCACCCCCCGTAGAGAACATGAAACATGGCAAAACTTCGTCATTACAGGTGTTGTTGCGTTGTTTTTGTTTTTGTTTTCGTTTTGTTGTGTTGTGGTTTTGAGTTCTTTTCGTTTTTTTTTTCTTAATTCTTCTTCTTCTTCTTTTGACTGGGTTTGGTTTCGCGAGGAACCAATCTGTTTGCGATTTGGTGAGTCTGTTCGTTTTTTTTCCGTTTCCAATGATTGATTGCTTTTGTAAGAGGTTTTTCCTGGTTTGTGTTCTGAATATACACCAACCTATATTTTATTCGAGATTGATTCTACGTTGTGAAAATTCGGTGCTAACGAGACCGATTTGTTAATGATCTGTTGTTTCCACGAGTTATGGATTGGTTGAGTTGCTTCCATTATCGTTTGCTTTTTTTCTGTTTTGATTGATTTTATCCGCAAAAAGATCAGCGAATGGAGCTGTTGATTTACTGTTTGTGCTATCTTATTCTTATTGCAATTTTAATTTTCATGAGATAAATAGGAAAATGCAAAGCTGACGGAGGATGGTTTAGTTGGGAATAGTTTCCAACTGTTGAATGTAAATGTAAGTGAACATGAAACCTATAACGAATCACCTAAAATTATTTGACAGAAAATAGTGAACGTTTAGAAAACCCGAGCCGTTTAACAAGAAGATCAATGGGCGAAGGAAAAGAATCCACCCACATAAAGGAGATGACTTTTTTTCACTTTCTCCATCTAAGGGCATCTTTAGCGGTGGTCTGATCTAGATCCAAATTTATGTCACATTTGAACCAGCTAAAATTAAAAGGATCAAACCAAAATAGATCAAACTGTGTGCGTTCGCACCGGTTGGTTTATTTTGGCCGTTCTATTTCAAACGTCAAAACCCGAGTCAAAACCAACTCACACCCTGATTTCGTGGTCAGCCATTTTTTAATCTCTTACTCGTTCGTACACGGTTTTTATCCGGAAGTTACCGTAAAATTGACCTCCGATGGCTGTCAGCCTTGAACTGCTCGTCCTCCTGCTCCTCGTGCTTCCCAGTGAAATAATAATAAAAACCTGTATTTATTGAAATTTGTCTGGTATGTTGTTGCGTGTTAGGTTTTGGCCTAAGTCAGAAACTGGACAATTCCCTGGGGTGTACCCGGAACATACCAGAATGTGGCCAATGTGGATCTGGACACTATATTTGACTTAAACTGATCTTGTTTTTTTTTAATTACTGTGAGATTTGACACATCACAGGGTTTAGACCATATCAGAAACTAGTCACTTCCCAAGGGGTTCCTGAAAGTAAGAAAGGTGGTCCTGGGCACATTATTTGACTACCATTGCTTTTGAAATCTAATGTGATTTGATGTGTCACATGGTGAGTTTTGGACAAAGTCAGAAACTGTCCACTTCCTGGGAGTTTCCAGAACATGCCCGGAAAATCCCGCAGAACAGAAGCGTCCGGATGTCTCCCTTGTGATCCTTTCGTAGTTGCGACGACAGGACCGGCAGCAACAGCAGCACCGATTGTTCCACCCACGTTTCTTAGAAAATCGAGGAACTAAATCGGTTTGTTTAGCTGAAAAAACTCCAACAACGAAACAAAACAAATCAAAATCTTGAGTGCGACAGCTGTCAAACTAGTTTGGAACAGTGCTTGCCTTGATCCAAATTCAGTTCAAAATAGATCGAGGATTATACTGGTTTAAAAAAAAAAATTACATTTTAGAACTAGTCTAAAACAAAAGACCACCAGTGCAAGGGCTCGGTCTGGGTCTGTTCCAAAATTTTAGACCAAACCAACCAATTGGATCGCCGCTAAAGATGCCCTAACTGCTTAGAATCGAGGGGCAGTTTGAAATTCCTCAGTAACGGGTCCAAAACTTGTTCCACAGACACGTATGTGCTTATTGCATTATCTAATTGTATTACCCTGATTGAACTTCATAAATTCCAATGTTACAGCGTTTGAAAAATTCATTACGTAGCAATGTATGCAAAAATCATTATATTTTTTTCAGCAAAGACGTTATTAACAGCTTTGTTGAAGTTTTCATTATGATATTAAACAGTTAAGTTCATATTTTTGTAACTTTTAGGACCACCCTATTTGCAACTTTCACCAAAATAAATGTCATTTTATAAGTGAAGAGATTTGTCCTTTCTGCAACTCAGAAAATTGAATACACGTCTATACTTCTAGAGGGCTTGTTGATGAGTGGCAAACAAGTTGCTAACGGTCGCTTCTAGCTTGATCCCAGGCTTCTTCGATTATAACTTCACAGAAGATACCGTACAGGTAAATTTGCAATTTGTGGGTCAACCAATTTATATGCACCTGCATTTTCGTGGACCAATGTGCAATGGCAAGCATACCCAAGTAACCAACCAGCTCGTTAATTTGCCTTTTTGCAATATTAGACTGACATACCGCTGATATAGGGCTTCTGAAATTCGTGATAGTTAGTTGAGCTGGTGGAGCTAGTGAACTAGCATACGTTTGAACAACCCATAAACCAAAATATTAGCTTTGTCTAATGTAGAGCTGTTAACCATAATCATCATTTACTAGCAGCAGTTGCAGTGTAGCCACAGCAGCCTATATCCAAAGCCACTAATGAGCATTTGTGGAACGATTGGCTTTGGCGGCACTTGTATTTGAAGAACGATTAATTAGTTTGAGCTGTGGTCAATACCAATGGTTTTGCCTTCCAGTTGGATGAGGGAATAGTCAACTTTATACATATGTTGTGCGACAAATTGGAGTCTACTAGAATTAGTTATCTGAAAAATGAACCGAAACTGCTATTGACATATTTAATAACTGAAATATAACTCAGATGGAACTAAACAATCCTCCCGAAGCATTGCCCTCCGTTATTGTATTACACCGCAATTTAGTTTGTTAACCGTATTTTGATTTTCACTTCACTGGTTTAAGTTTTCGCATCGTTTGCAATGACTGCTCGAATGATTTTAAAGGCATACGAAACTGACTGCATTTCTCTTTTCTCTATTGCTTTCTCTTCTCACATTTCTTTTTGCGTACTGTTCTTCACACCTCACACCACTGTCCGCTATCCGATCTGGATCTGTCGTGCGTTACGAAACTAAAAAAAAAACAAACAAACAAATGATCAAAAACATCGTCATCAACTTCTACTACTCCTTCTTCATCTTCTGCACAGTCTCGACTCCTCTCGCAAGCGTAAAGTTCACTTACTGCAACGTCACAGACACAGTTTGGCCAGTACCAGTTACAACAAGTAAATACACACAGCTTGTTTGAACGAGTGCCCCAAAACGAAGCCCCCGCCCTCATTCCTCTGCCTAACGTCCGCACGAGATTGTCGACATTTGCAAACAAAAAGAAAGTTAATTAAGTAATACCTATCCCGCGGAACGTAACACCTACATACCCTACACAACCGAAACACCAGATTGTACATAAAACAAAACACACCAACATTCCGACATTAGTTTCAATAACACACATATACAACGTTGTATTGTAACATACAATTCTGCATTGATCTGTTTCTGGGTTATTCGTGATGTCACCAGTTTATTTTGTTACCGTTACCTTTCGTTACAAGCGATGAGATAATGAGAGTGTGATAGTAAAACATGTATTTTTCGGTTCACTTGCACTGCCTTTCCTAACTCACCCACCACCACAACCACCCACGAATATATAATAAAGATCAACCTTCAAAGGTAAATGAGCGTTGAAAAAAAAAATGTTGATTTTGCTCTCAAATCTAGACGAACATGTGAAAAGCGCCAATGATATAAATGTAAACAATGACTATGAACCAACAGCACCATCTGGTAGAGAAAGATTGCTCTATCAGATGGTTTAGTAAGTTTGCATGGCTGTCTTGTATTTACAGTCTGGCGGATAGAATTTCGATCTATCAAAAAACGGATATTGAAAAGGTACGAACCACTTTTATAGAAAAACATTTGATGGATCTTTCCTCGCCAACCCACCGCAAATTAACATCATCATCGGATAGGGGAAACTTTCCCCAACCCAACGGTGGTGTTGATTGCAGGCGAGCTTTGAGTCACGAGAAAAAGGTTTACAAAGTTTTGCTTGCCAAAGCGGATGCGCTCTTTTCTGTTGTTGGTCGCAGTATGCTCGATTGGTTCCGCTATTGCCCAGCTCAATTGGTTCCCGAGATTTTATCCGCCATTGACCCTTTTAACATGTTCGTCTAGAAATATGCTCCTTCCTGTACCGTTGATGCATGTTTTCTGTTCACTGTGCTTCCGCAATGCCCAAACACCGCACACTTTCCATTGTTTGTTGTTGAACTTCACCACTTGGCCAATGAAACCTACCTTACCATACTTCTCTGGCTGCCCATAGAAGCTTTGAACCAACTGTCTCTTTCTCTCTCATATACATGCACACATTACACCGCTGAGATCAAGTCGCTTTGCATGGCCTGCTGAACTAATCGGGATTTTGTGTTTCTTCTCTTCTTTTCTTCTCACCCGCATTGGGTATTTTTTCTATTGCTCTCTCTCTCTCTTACTCTCTCGCCCTGGAGTAGGACCATGACGGCGATATGCTTCGTCTGCAATCTGCCCATCATGTCTCACCAGGTGGGACTGGTCTGGCAGGGCGGCAATGGCTGGGACGATCTCGTACGGGAGCAGGTTCGTATGACTTAGCCATGTGGAACCAGGGGGTCGATGGACTAAAAATGCGTTTTGTTTATTTACTATCAGGTCGAAGAATCCACCGTACGACAGCGGCTCGGTGGACGAAGAGACTCGGCTGCTCAGATCAGTGGTGCAACACCTCCTAGTACCTCACCGCCACCAGGTAGGTTGCTCATCCTATCTTCTGAAGTTCCAATCACAAACTGCTGCTTTTTTCATCCACAGGTGGGCAACGCCGCCGTCGCAGTTCGCTCGCTCAGTTAACCGATATCCTGCGCGAATGGAGCGGTGGTGGTTCGAAGCGACAGAAAGCTCCGCTAAACCGACGGGAGACCCTAGCTGACCTGGCGCGGAGTTTACCCTGGGGCAAAGCCAACACCGTAGATAGTTATAATAACAACAACAACAATAACAACTCAACTAATACTGGTTCAGGGCATGCAGCTACGCCACGGAAACGGCGCGAGTCCAGTGCCGATTCGGGAGTCAAGAGCTGGAAGGACTCGCGGAAAGATTCGTACGTTACGGACTTTCGTGATTTTCGAGAGCGGGAGCGAGAACAAGATCGAGAACGAGAACGAGAACGGGCAAGGGAACGTGAACGCGAAGACTTCATCTGCAATACGGACAACTACAGGAATGTGAGTTATCTGCGGTCAGCTTTACTTGTAGAAAAACTTATCTTTCACTTTATTTCAGGGCTCCCGTCGCAACTCGAACGACTCCAGCCGCGATCGGTCATCCCGGCGAGATTCGACCATCGGAGGAGCGGCAACACCATCACCACCCAAAGTTGTCAGCACCCAGCGCAAACAGCAGAACCGAAAAGATTCCCTTACCGTCATGGAGATGCCCAACTTCCGCCAAGAGCAACGTCCGTCGACCAGTTCGACAGCATCCGATTCAGCACCTCTCTATATGCCCGTTGGCCAGGTGGATTCCGCCTGCCAGTCCATACAGCCCCCGACCATAATAACCAGTTCGGTAACGCCCCCGGCCACCAGCCCCACCGCGCAGAAGGGTCGTCGTGATTCGACGACCCAGTGCGGGACGAAAATGTCCCGCCGCGATTCCCGTGTAAGTCCCGAACGGCGGCTTAAGCTGCAAAGACAAGTAAATGTCCCCCAACCTCTGCTCGTAGTGACCCGACCAGCTCCCTCCAATGACCAGGATCGGTGCTCTTTGTGTTTCTCTTTGCAGGCCACTGCCTACGACGAGAGCTGTTTGCCACCGGGTGGATGGAGCCGACGAGGCTCGCAGCCGGCGCTCAGTCCGGACGGGGATGGGCCCGAGCGACAAGCCAGACGGGACAGCCTCAGTCCGGACAGTGCATCCAGGTAAATCCTCTCCCGATGTCATGATCGGTTTTGGATCCAGTTGAATACGGTGACGGGTTATTATGCCGAATGTCGCTAGGTCGAACGCCAGTATGCCGAATTCCAGATTTTCATGCGATTTCCTTCCACCGTGTAAATTTTCGTTGAAAACATGTTTTAGATTATGTTTGTTATGGATTACTGAGATACTACTACTGATTTCTAAAAGTACGAGAAACTTAACCACCCCGAATTTTCCGAATTATTTTTTCGTTCGTATAACCATAAACTCTACTTGAGGGAAATTCTGAGACCCTTCGGTCCATTTTCCCGATATTACAAAAAATTCCCAAACTTTGTCGAAGAAACCCAACCTTTTTTTTTTAAAAAAATGGATGTGTTAATGTTCGATGCTAGATCTCACTATGGGATAGACAAATCTAATTCCCTAACGAAATCGCAATAGGTATCGTTTATCATAAACACTAGAGGGTATAAAACCGTGTTTGATCCACCAGCAATCATCCTTCGTGAAATCCAACCTAATCAACAAAGAATCATTTTAATCCATCACACTATCACCGATTTTCCAGAGGCCGCCGTGATTCCCGATCACATCTCTCGCCGGATCGAAGCCACGAACGGGAGGGCAGCCCTCGCCGAGGGCGCCGCTTGCGAAGACAATCATCATCCGCTGCTCGGCAGCCTCGTTCGCCGGATTCGAGCAGCTGTTGCTCATCGAGGTAAGCTTTGAAAAGCTTCCAAGCGGTCGCCTGTTTCCTAACAAAGTTTGCTCGACTCGTTGTAGGGATGCGAGCCCGTGCGCACGCCCACCACCACTGCCGACTGAAAATGTGGTACGGCCGTCGATCCGACGCCAATCGACGACGGAGGAAATTCTGATAGCACGGGGCTTTCGCCGCCAAAGCACCACCGAGGAGATGATTCGCTGTCGGAACTTTCGCCGACAAAGCTCGCAGAGTGATGACACCAGCCGGTAAGTGTTTTATGGTGGGGAGTAGGAAGATAACAGGGTATTCGGTTAAGAGCTTTTATCCCATTATCGGTTACGTTTTGAATATGTGCAGGAGGAGCTTGCAAAGGAAAGTTTGGATAATTGAGATAAAACGTTCACAAAAGTGGACCCTACATAATCGTATTGCAGCGGCGCCGGTGGTGTGGTGGACAGTCTTGTAAGCGGTCACGGTAGTCGACACATTTTCTGTGATAATTGACTGCCTTTGCCTCCGACACTTGCAAAACAAGCTATCATAGTACAGTACCAAACTAAAATGTCGTATGACAGGCTCTGTCATACGACACTGTCGCCGAAGACCGTCACGAATGTATGTATTTTAGTTTTTCTCATAAGAAGATCTGCTGATGGTGCGCTTGTGTGAATTCTGAAAATAGCAAGCAATGATGTCCTAGTAATAATATTTCTGATCAGAAATGGTTTGATTTACACCAAATTGAGGAATTACAACGAAATCACACATGTCATATAATAGCTATTTTGATAATTTTCTTTTAGCTCGAATGTTATTCTACCGCTCGTGTTGTGTGAGAGAGACGACGGTAGAGCATGAGTGTTCGAATACAAACAGACTGTCGCACACGAAAACGAAGCGAGCGTAGTAAAAAACGTCAACTGTTTCAACTCCTGGTGGTGGATAGCGTGATTGCCTCTCACCCCAAATGGCCTGGGTTCAATCGCAATCAGCGCCGCCGGGATTTTCTGAGGCACAACATCTCTGATCACGCCTCGAGCATTTGTAAACAAACTTTCTAATCCCTTTATACGCGAACCAAAGTACGCCTACGCAAACCAATACCACTTTCGGAAAGGTGATAGTTGCCCCTATCCGATGATGTAGTTGGTTTGCGTGAGCGTACATTGGTTCGCGTGTAAAGGGCCTTAGAAAGTTTGTTTACAAATGCTTTTGTGCCGTTATCAAATGTTATGTCTGAGTTGATGGGTCGTTTGGCTGGCGTCGGTAGCATTGGTGCTCAGCACGGAAAACAAGATCGACGGAATACAAATTAAGGAAAAAAAAATCGTTTTGTCAATACATTCTGTATTGACGTCAATACATCGGTATGGACAATATTGCTGTATTCACATCAATAATATTTTTGTCATTACTTGTAAGTACAGTCAGGAATCCTTATTGCCGGGGTAACGGGGGCGTGAATAAGAAACCGCGAATAAGGATACCCACAGCTTATGGGATTTTCACTAATGGGGGCTGTAGTGGTTTATCTCATTTGTTTCAATACATAAAGTTATACTGTCTTCGACAAAGTTGCTGTACTGGGTTAGACCAACAAGTCTGTGACATTGGATTCAGGTTAAATTGGGAACTACGCCGCTAGAGGCGCTTCACTTTTATGTTACTTATGACGGGCGCTATAATATATGGATCATATTTCCAACATAGAATATTTCGTGATCCTGGCAATATAGAAAGTTACTGTCTTCAGCAAAGTTGTGCAGGTGACCAAGCCCTTTCGGATGGTGGACTTATTAGTTCAGAACTCTCTCACTACGCAGTGCTAGTGTGCATGTGCAATTCCTATATAAACTGTATCTCGAGAGCCTAGCCGTATATAAAGTTGCTGTTTTGAGCAAAGTTGTGCAGGTGACCAAATCCTTTCGGGTGGTGGCCATATTAGTTCAGAACTCTCTCACTACGCAACGCTAGTGTGCATGTGCAATTCCTATATAAACTGTATCTCGAGAGCCTGGCCATATAGAAAGTTGCTGTTTTCAGCAAAGTTGTGCAGGTGATCAAGTCCTTTCGGATGATGATCATATTAGTTCAGAACACGCTCACTACGCGGCAAGAGTGTACAAGTGTATTTCCTGCATAAGCTGTATCTCGAGAACCTGGCCATATAGAAGGTTACTGTCTTCAGCAAAGTTGTTCAGGTGACTAAGTCCTTTCGGATGATGGTCATATTATTTCAGAACTCACACTACGCGGCGCTAGTGTGCACATGAACTTCCTTAATATGTTATGTCTCCAAAGCTTGTCCATATAAGATGTTGCTGTGCAATGTGAGAACAGGGACCAGAAAAGGGATGACGTGTAGAGGCCGGAAATCGATGTCAGATGCCATTTTGGAATCCCAGATGGCGGCCATTGGTTCAAGAAAAACTGTCAAATACCCTACAATGTGGGAATTTCCGAAAAGGGACGACGTGTATCCTGTGGGTATCCTTATTCGCGGAAAGTCCGGCAATAAGGATCCGGCAATAAGGGATACCGGCAATAAGGAATCCGGAAATAAGGATTCCTGACTGTATTTACAATATTTCTTACCGAGTGGGGTTCGCTATAAAGCACAAAACTATTATGGATGAAGTGCTTGCGGCGAATAATTAAAAAAAGGGATAGTAGCCAACCATGGGACACTTTGAATCCTTTTAACAAGCAAATGTATAGTAAAATTAAATCATATAATCATGCAACAGCTGCAAAAGTGTAAATTGTATAATTTACAAGTAATTTCTTGATTTTTGCTTGGTCGCAAGAATCTCGAAGAGTAACGTCCAGAGGGTTAAGGCAAGAATGGGTCTAAGATAGTAGAAGAAGCGGAAGTTATACGACCGATTGCTGTGTGGAAATCGGCGTGCGTAATTATGGACGGTGAATCATACGTAAAATTTGATTGCAAAACTCTTCCGGGTGATCAGTTCTACACCGTTCGTGATGGCCGACGACGACGCGGATAAGTCGATTTTTACCTAGTTGAAGATGCTAAGCGATAAATAACAGACTTAAAGTTGTCGTTTTATACGATAGATGAGGAGATGAAAGTGTAGAGTTAATAGTTCCGTTAGAGTACGGCAATGTGCGATTTTTACCAAAAAAAAAGTAAAAATGCTATCAGTCTGCATCGTGCTCTCTTGTCGTGCGGATCTATTTGCTTTTTGCTGATGGAAGTGTTACTGCTAACTAAAACTACACAAAATTTAAAGAGCACTTTTCAGTACTTAACCTGTAAAATTTCTATCTTGTTTGGACCCTACCTAAGGTAATTCTGTTTGAAAATCGATTTGGAGAAACTTGGTTTTGCTGCCATGGCGCCCAAGCACAAAAGAAAGGGGTAATCGCTTGATCCCCCCTCTGATGAAATTCAATTGAGCAATCCATTTGATATGCTCAATCAATTTGGAGCAAGACCTGCCACAGTATCAAAGTGCGAGGTTAAATTCGATTCAATTATAATGGACGATGATTTTCAGCTCTTGATCCGTCTGAAAAATGTCCGTAGGAGCCAATATCAAAGAACACACGATCCTGCCATGAAAGTTATCTGTCGGGATTTGCATAAACAAATTAAAAAGCGATTCTCTGCCCAGAGGAACAAAACTTTTGAAAATAAAGTTTCGAAATAAGACCCGAGTTCCAAACCCTTTTGGAAAATCACAATTTTTTTTGAAAAAACCTTAAAAACCTATTCCAGTGCTTTAAGAAGGTGGTAAAATTTTGATCACAAATTTGGAAAGCGCTTAGAAACTTGCTAAGCAATTCGAGAGTTCCCATAATTTCAGTTTGGGTCTTACTAGTCCTATTGAGAATCAGGTTGCTCGGTATTAAGTGAATATTTTCTGTCTGAAACCCTGGGGACTGCTTTGGACGAATTAAGAGCTATAACTATAAAATTTCTGTATATGAAAGCTCCAGGTTATGATGAAAAATTTTATATCCTCACCAAAAACATTCCAGAGAGTCTGTTGTCTTTCTTGATAAAATTATTTAACAGATGTTTCCATTTGGCATACTTTCCTGATAAATGGAAAAATGCAAAAGTTGCTCTAATTTTGAAGTTGTATAAAAATCCAGCTGAAGCTTCATGCTACCGTCCAATAAGGTTGCTTTGATCAATAAGTAAACTTTTTGAAAAGTTTATTTTGAATAGAATGATGCTTCACATCAATACGAACTCAATTTCGCAGATGAGCTATTTGAATTTCGCCATGGGCATACTCATCAACTCTTAAGAGTTGCCAATTTAATTCGCTCAAACAAATCTGAAGGCTGCTAAACTGGAGTTTCTCTTCTAGACATAGAAAAAGCATTCGACATTGTTTGGCAAGAGGGTTTGATTGCTAATTGAAAAAAATTACTTTCCCACTCTATTTTATGGAATTAGTTCAAAATTATCCAACTGACAGAACTCTGCAGGTAAATTATCAAAATTCCAAACCCGAACGACTACCTGTTAGAGCAGGAGTTCCTCAGGGTAGCATTCTTGGGCCTATATTGTATAACATTTTCACTTCGGACCTCCCTGATTTGCCTCAGAGTTGCCACAAATTTTTGTTCGCTGATGACACATGCATTTCCGCTAGAGGAAGAAGTCTTCGTGTTATTTGCAGCAGACTGCAGAAAAGTTTAGAAATTTTTTCTTATTTACAAAAACAGAAGATTTCTCCTAATGCTTCCAAAACTCAACTTATAATATTTCCACATAAGCCTAGAGCTTCTTTATGGAAACCTATTGGAAGTCACATAGTCACTATGAACGGAATTCTAATTTTTTGGTCAAGTCAAGGTATATATCTTGTATTAGTACTTGACCAAACATTAACTTTTAAAGATCACATTGAGGGCTTTCAAAAATTAAGAAAAAATCGCACACAATTGAGAAAAACTGGGAATCATCCGAGATTTAATTTGATTTGAACCGTTATCTCAAAGATCTTTATTTCGAATGTTTTACTTCTTGATTAATTCATCGAGCTTGAAATGCTAAACTTTCTTTAGATCGGGATGTCAGAACTTGAGAGTTAGATCTTTAAAAAAAATGTCCTAGAGTTTTGATAAGTTTTCTAACCCAAGGTGGTGATAATGTTTTCAAATTATTTAAGTGAGAATCTTGAGTAATTTCTAAGCCTTTAAAACGTAATTCTTTGTCAACTTTTTCAACCACCCAATGTTGTTGTGTGTCAGAGTCTTCTGGAACACTACTCTGAATTTAAAAATCGAAATCCCATGGGAATCATCATGAGGTTTTTTTGTTTGTTAATTGAAGGATTGTTCAACATTTAAGAGGTTTTCCAGGCACTAAGAGATCATAAGAAATAGTGTCAGAATTGTTTCCATATCATAGGGTAAATTACTCTTTTGTTGATCTATGGATCTAAGATTGGGCCCGTCGCTTAAAAATCTGCTATTTATCAATTTTATCTAGATGAACGCGTGATTGGGACGGTACTAATGAATATTTTTGGTCGCTATTGAAAATTTAGTCGATTGCTGAATTCATGTATGGGCCCAAAATAGGGGTTTATAGGCCGACATTACGTCCATTCCCTCTAATTAAGTCTTATATGGTTAATTCACTTTGAATTTTTCTCCCGAATTTCTTTAAAATGCTACCGAAAAATCATTCAGAGTTGCTTCAGAATTCTCTGAAATTCTGCTCATAATCTTTAAAAAATAGTCTCTTCTGAACTACGTTCGGATTCACTGATAGTGATCAAGCCGAAGGCTCTGTATTTTTCGGGAATCGGAGGTAGGGTTACGGTATGTAATGTGGGTCTAGTCCTTTCATTCGGCCTATCACGCAAATAAATAATTAATTAAGGAATATTACACAAAAAATAAGGAAAATATTGATCACTGATGGTTGATAAATGTGTACCACACACAAATCAATTTATATCACAACATTTCAATACATTTTCAGCTCTCGTAAGTAATAAAACTGGTTGAGAATATCACAATGTTCGGAGTTTTTAGCCGCCATGACTTATAAGGTTAAGATGGGAAGGTTGACTGACGATCATCAAATGGCCTGATTATGGCATTTATTGATTGGAATTACCTGATAATACACACTAGACGTAAAACTTACAGTTGCTGTTTGAATATTTTATGTTTATTTTAATTGTTTAACAACGTTTTCACAAGTAAAACATGGACCCAACTTTAGGGACACATTTCTTTTCTATGTTCCTAACTATGGCCCATGAAATTCATTTGACAGCATATAGCAATAAGAGTAACGTCAACAATGTTGTTTTGCATTTGGATGATAAGGAACGAACAGGAAGGGAGATTTTTTCTGCCAAACCTGTATAATGAACATCACAATGTTCTGATTTAGATATTCTGCGGTCAAAAGACGATAAGCGAAATTTTTAATTTTTAATTTTTAAATTGAGTGATTTAATGTAGTTTTCGTAAAATTTTCTCTAAGAAATGTTTTGAGGAATGAAGAGCATTAAGTTAACAGTGATAGTGATAAAAAAAAATACATCAGAAAACGTTACCAAGAGCGTTTTTTTGAGGATCAAACAAGATAGGACGAAGTTGCATCCATAAATAGACCCAATTTGGGGACAATAGACCCATATTACATACATTTCCCTCGTGAGTTATTGTCTTAAAAAAAGTAAGTTTTTCAACTTTTCGTGGTTTCTGATAGCAAACGACATGATAAGCATATCTAAGCATACCATTTAGCAGTAGAATATCGTTTGCAGGTAAATTCATTGATGAGTTATGATTAAAAACGTAATCGATGGCTGCATATTAGACCGAGGTTAGGGACGTATACCCTATTTCTTCCCGTTCTTACCAGAACGGTGCACAGAAATCGGTGAGGAAATTTAACAACCGAAAGTATTGCTGCTATTCCACCTTCCCTTTAGAAAGTGCAAATTAGCCACTCAGTCACCTTGCATTAGCGTTGTAGTTTGTAAATTTCACGATGATCACACGAATGATCCCTTCACACTGGTGCGATAAAACATGCACTATTGTTTAACGAAATCATAGGATATGATGATAAAATCAATCTGTTGAATGCATCCGTAATATTAACCTTTGCTGTTGAATTTTCGGGAGTGGAGCTTGCGATATCTCCGGTTGCATTTATTCCTTGTCTCCTGAACCTTTTCGCTGCACATTCAAATTGGAAACACCGTGTATTTATTAATTCCAAAATAAAACATTGATTATATACAGCGTGGTTGTTGCTCCCATCACAACCCCATTTGTAGATAAGTGAATACCCGTCGTTTGGTACCACATTTTGGTACATCGCTCTGCTCATCGCGCTTTCAAAAAGGTGTTTTGTGGTGTGCTCCACAAATTCCTGTAAAGGCACTTCAGCAACAGATGAATGAATAGAGACCTAATATATCGTTATAAAGGTATTATTCAACATTATTGACTCTATGTTTAAAATACCTGTAGGATAGCAAAGCTTCTTAGATTCAACCACTTTGTTATAAGCTGGGTACATGTCCATGCCCTTGCTTATATTCACCTGACAGATGTTCAGGTACTGAGCCTCTGAAAACTCATTTTTGCATAAGAATGCAAGAGCTTCCTCAGCTGTAAGAGTTTCAAAACCTTGTTTTGATCGATCTACTGAACGTTGTAGCTCGATTGCTGTTTCGGGGTTTTGTGCCATTTTTCCTATCAATTTGCCAATGTTGCTGCAGCATACGAGATTTCTTCTGCCGAAAATTGATTGAGAAGAGATTGGACCCTGTTTTTCATTTATTTTCTATGTGCATTTTTGAACGGCTTAGAAGAATGGCCAACGGATGATTTTGAGGGCGAAAGAACATCGACAATAAGTTCTCCTCGAAGCCAAGCGTCGTTGATCTTCAAAAATCGTTCAGGTTTCCTTCCAGCTGCCCGCCAAAGCTTTTGAAAGTTCAGTATCACCAGGGTAACCTTCATTTGCACCAAACTTACGTCCAGTTCTGCACCAGAAAGCTATTTCTTTGCAAATTCCAATAAATTTCTTACCTTATCTCCGTTCATGAAAAGAAAGGTAAGATCGACCAAACGAATCACTGATAAAATAAAATCTGAGTTAATATAATGAAAGCACTTCCCAAGTAACATTGAAGGTTTTATCGAGGTTTAATAGCATTCTACAAGTCTAAATCATGGTCTACAGAACCCTCATAAAACCAAAATTGTTACTTGGGTTGCGACGTTTTAAAATGAACAATTCAGCGTCTCAAAAATCTAAGCTCTATTTTTTGAATTTCTCAAACGTCATTTAGCACATAGAACAGAGGAAAACGAAATGGACTGTGAAACGGAATGCAGAATAAAAAACAGCAAATACGGCTAGCAGAAACTCGCTTTTCTGATGGTCGTAGGGTTACTAGAAGTTCAAACTTAAAATAACCCCCGTTTATATGCACGCAGTGTCGTTCAGATTAACGGGGGTTCACGGTATAAATAAATAATATTCTTGTTTATGTTAAAGACATTAACAATCTTGCTAGTGTTCCATTTCTTATGCTATTTTGAAGATTTTTATGCTTTATAATATATAAATGATACTTTAATACTCGAAAGAAATCCGAATAATGTAGATTTATGGAATAAAAATCCCTATTTTCAAAGTGGATTTATTTTAAAACAACAAAAATTACCTTCAGCAAAAGTTGCTAAAATGTAAATTCTTGATATGCTTTTTAAAGTGACACGAAACACTATCGGTTGTACTTGCGCCATTTTGAAATGATACGCTTGAAAGTTTGGCCTAAAAGACTACAAAACTGATGATAACTTTTTAAAGAAGACTTGTGCTGGTAAAATGTCTTTGGAGAAAATGTGTATGTTGTTATAAATTGAGCTCACAAGAAAATCTTTAGAACACATCAATACGCTATCTCTAATATTTTTCAAGTTATTAATTTATTCCACCTAATTTTGCTTCCTGGACCACTGTGCAATGGCGATCACTCCTAATAATAGTTGATATAGCTAATAAAAAAAAGTGGGGAATATATCACATAAGACCAGAAAAATTGTCGCATTGACGAAAATAATCGACAAAGATTAAAAAAAACTTCAAGATTATGGTAAATAACCGAAAGATTATGGTAAATATCCGATGCAAAACCTTTCTAGTTTTTAGAGATCTATAATACCAATCAATTGTATCGACCAATCGTGGCCCTGCGTCAGCCTTTCTTTCGTGCCCCTTGGCTCTTCTTCTCTTCTACTTTCTTGAGTTAGAATTCCAAAAAAGTATAATTAACTTAAATAACTCAAAATGTTCCTGACCAATATTTATAATTTAAAAAAAGGATTAAGAAAATGGCTTCAAATTTACAAAAATCGTAGAATACGAACTTTTGGTACACTGTTTAAACATCATGGAAATTTCTTTAAAAAGCGTACTAGCAAATAGTTAGTCAATTAACAAACGTTTAAAGCAAATCGAAGAAGGTCGGGGTCTGATCTATTCATAATTTGGCGTAGAACTGCTCACATGTCAAATGAGTAAATTTTCATTCTCTCTTTCAGCTACCGCGGTCGGCGGGACTCGTGCGCTCAGATCATCGACGGCACCGTCAGTACCATGACAGTGGAAACCACTAGTACGTTTTTTGATTCTAGTACTCAAACAGGTATGATTAGTGCTATAAGCTTTCATCAACAAAACAGCATACATACGGCAAATCAATCCTTCCCCATTCACTCCATACAAATGCTTTACTCAATTCGAATACCGTACGTGTGTGTGTCGTTCTGTGTGTTTCCATCCCCCCAAAATCCCCGTTGCCCACTGTGGTGTCTCGCCAAGCCCGAAATCGGTTGTGAAAATTCGCCTTCCAGTTTGATGACAAGGGAAAAAACCGCTTTGCTGACGTTGTATAACTAACTCATCGATGAATTATACCCCATTTTTCTCCGATCAACCATCAACTAGCATTAACGACGACGCACGGTGCAATCGAAAATGACAAAAAGGTTCCCGGAATCGGAACCTAATGAAGATTTCCCAGAATCCATCCGACCAAATGGCGACGTCGGCGGGGAAGATCTTGGGTACATCTAATCAACCGACCGCCAACGCCACTTGCAATAGGATGAGTGTGGGATCCACACATCCCAATCGAAGCGTGACGGTTTTTTGCTTTGGCTGGTTTGGATCAAAGTCGATCCAAAAATAGGATGAAGTTAACTGATGCTGAGACGTTCGCTGTGTTTGGTCTGCAGAGATTTGAAGCTGTTTAGGTTGCTACATAAAGCAGCCATTATGTTTCCGATTTGAGTGGTTGGATAAATACAATTTGTTCACGGTGGTGGTGAAATTAAAATTCAAACAAAAAGCTCTCGTTTTTTATTTGCGTTGTCGACAAGCTCCACAAGTGTGACGTGTCTGTTAAGCGTACCCCACACGTATCAACAATGTTCTGGTTAATACTGAACGTTACGCCATCACGTTGCGATGCGTGTGGGGTCCACTTTAGGGCCAAACCATTTGGCACGTTTTTGCTATCAACGTTCTCGGGAATCTGAGTTTTTGTGCTTCTTTCTCGATCAACAATTGGGCCTATCAGCATCTGTAAACAAAACTTTCTAAGCCCCTTCCTCGCAAAGCGTAGGTTGCCCACGCATTCCGTGCAAGATCCGATAACTAATCGATAACATATGAATATCTCAATGTGGTATGATACCTTATTTTGGAATTCTTGTGGTGTAAATCCTTGTTTTGATAGTATACTGTTATCGAAGTATTTTGTAAAATATCATATAAATACCAAAATAACATAACCTGATCTTTCAGTTTTAAGGCAATAACACCTAAAAAAGTGTTACTGTATTAGTATAAGAAGACCTTTAAAAAACAAGTTTTTGTATTCTGGCATAAAAAAATGCGTTTGTTATCCGCCAGTTATTATAATAACTAAATTATGTAAGAGGAAAAAAAACAGGAGGAAATAGCTAATGAATACCTTATTTTGACCTGATACCAACATTTGGTATTGATCAATATGACGTAAGAGGTAAAATACCAACGAATAATACCAAAAAATACTTTGTCAATAGCAAAAAATGATGTTTGGATTGCTGTCTGGTATTGTTTTGGTATTGCATTATCATAATTTGGTATTGGAATGGTATTGTGGGAACGTTTTTTGGTATTTTACCTCTTATGTCAGGTTCATCCATACCAATTTAAGGTATCGAGATATTCGTTCCTGCTTGGGATTAGATGGTTGATTCATAGAACATTTTTTAGGTATTATTTTTGGTCTTATATCAGGTTCATCAATACCATACACACTTAGAAATACCTAATTTTACACGTGACGGAATCCATCTTTGACACAAAGGATGAGACGTAAACGTAAAGTGTCATGTAAATTTAAGTGCTCCGAGACTGAAAAGTTCGTTGCTCGACGAAAAGTATCCATACGGTATTTTCTACTGCTCGGGATACCAACAGCATCATCAGGTAAAGAGGAAAAATAAAAATCGACGAGATTCGATCTTTCGAAATGTTGATGAAGTGTTCTAGTGGAACCTTTTTCTCTTTTGTATACGAATTCTTCGAAGCAGTGTCTGTTTTTATCATTTACCATACCCAGGGATGCCCGGTGTACTTAGAAAAAATCTTCAACGAGATCGACGAAATACCTTCGCATGTCTTTGCGGCCGTTCATTCTTACCGAGTGACTGAGTAAATTTGAAATGCTCTTTGTTTTCTTCTCAAGGAAATATCACTCGGTTTTCATAAAAAATGGGGCTACTCAGAGCTATGAGCAACTTCAATTTTTATGACATCTGAATGATGTTTACTAAAGAGAAACAGATAGTTGAGGTGTCGACTCAATGAATATAACCAAATTCCCTGCTATTCCCCGCCCAAGTAGCATTTCTTGTTTTATTGCACTCTAGTAGTGGTTTATGAGATCAATTTTATAAAACCGTCAATAAAATTAATAGTTCCAGCACAACCTTTTGATAACCGCTATAAGATCGTCTTACAGCTTAGTGGACCACTCTTGATAAGGTTTATAAAGCATGTTTGAGAATCACAATAAAGCTGTCTTAAAACCTTTTTTCATAAAGCCTCATACTCTACAAAAGGTTCTTATAGCCTCATTAAGAGCAATATTGTAGCAGTTTTATTACGCTTTGGTGAAAATCAGTTAGAAATCCAATTTTATTTTTATTGCATCAAAGCAACCGCCATAAATTAGCTTGTTGTTGTTCTGTTCTGCTGAAACTTGTTTTTCCATATGGAAATCTTTAGCGGTAAAAATAGGTTTGAGTGTTGGTGTTAAGATCACCATGTAATCAATTTTGTTTTTTGGTGACATTAGTGAAAATCTTAAAGAAAATACATGACTTTTAAGAAGTTCCAAAACATATGGGCTTGTTTCAGAAATCAAATTAATTTGATGGAATCATCTTAATTTTACCGAAAATAGATCTCAATAAATAAATTCATACCAATGCACACTGGAAATCATTTCGGATATCCAATTTAGCCATTATTTTATTGAAATTTCTTGGATTTTATTCCAAGGCTAAAGGCATTTTCATAATGATAATATGGCAACAGAGGAGAGAAGGCAAGAAAAACACCAAGCGCAATTTCTTAAAATGTCTAATGCTTACATTGCAACCTAGCGGAGCAGAATTAATAATTCCGAAACGAAGCATTTTCGCGACTTGGTGTCTATGGAAAAGTTTTTCGTCATAATAAGGACCATCAATTGACATAAAAAAAATAGTTAAAACTCTTTCGCAAAGATGGCGCCACAATCTAACTTCTTTCTCTGACGTTTTGGAGACTTGATGTCTTCGGCAAAGTTGTTTATCTTTACAAAATGAACAGCTTTTTCAAAGACGTCAAATTTCCACAGCCTACTGGTTCCAAGTTATATGGAGTTAAATGAATGTCGAAAATATGGTTTTTTTCTTTCTGTTTCTTCACGTCTTAAGAAGAGTTGTTTATTTTATCAAGATAAACAACTTTGCCTAAGTCGTCAAGTCTTTAAAACGCCATTTCAATGCATTAAAAAAAGTTTTAGAAAAAAATCTTGTTCCACTAAAATAAAGAAATCTAAAACACACCAAAATATACATCTTTCAAATTTTAATATTTTGTTTATTGAGTATTGCTTAATTTTTGCTGAAAATGTCAGATTGCGAATTTTTGCGCTTTGGGAGATTAAAAAGTTCAAAAATTGTTGTTTTTTTTTCGTTTTTTCAACAATATCTTTAAAAATTGAAGCTTAATCCAGTATGTTTCTTCACAAAAGTTATATATTTAATGCATTAGCATAAGAGAAAAATACAACATTAAATAAGCAAAAAAACTGAAACAGAAAGAAAAAACCATATTTTCGACATTTTTATCAACTATATATAACTTGCAACCAGTAGGCTGTGGAAATTTCACGTCTTTGAAAGAGCTGTTCATTTTGTCAAGATAAACATCTTTGCCCAAGACATCAAGTCTCCAAAACGTCAGAGAAAGAAGTTAGATTGTGGCGCCATCTTTGAGGAAGAGTTTGAACTATTTGCCTATGTCAATAGATGGTCCTTATTATGATGAAAAACTTTGCCCAAGACACCAAGTCACGGAAATGCCTCGTTTCGGAGTTATTAATTTTGCTCCGCTAGGTTGCATTCCTGGCCCAGTGCCAGTGTGCATTGAATGAAAGCAGAACAGAAAAGCATAATGCATGATTTTATTACGAGCACTATTTTCATTTTACAAGAGCAATTCATTTTTTTTTATTTGAGGGCAAATGTATATTCCTATTCTACGGGTGCAACCGATGAATTTTACAAACATTTGGAAAAGTTTTGAATGGTACATAAACCTTTATGAAAAGTTGTGCGTGATTTCAACTTTTTTGTCCTAGAACTGTCACCATTCCATGTATTTCGACCAATGGAATGGTGAGGAAGCACACTCTTTACAGCTTGTGACATTCGCAGAAAATGCAGCGGCATTTATTTTCTTGGTTGGAGTTATTCACGAAGGTTTGCGGCTGACTGTAGCAAATAAACGGGCTCATGCTAACAATCTTGTTGATTTTCTTTGCGCTCCGCTTGGAAATTCCGGAATGTTTTGATTCTTTTCTATGTTTTAGAAATAAACCGCACATTTACACTTCTGACAAGTTGCAACTGAATACTTAAAATTGTTTTAAAATAACTGTTTCATGGCCAACTAGCTTTATTGCGCTTACTTATATAGCAATATAAGGATTTATTTTTGGGTTTTATAAGGGCAATTAATATTGCTTTTTTTATACTTCCAGGCAATCATAAAACCTTTAATAAGTGAAAATAGCATACCCAAGTAACAATTCAGTAGCTATTTGGCATCCTCACTGATTTATGATGGTTTTATAACGGAAATAAACAATCCATTTAGTTTAAATACAGCATTTCAAAGTGTAAAACATTTCTGGTTAGTAATTCAGCTTATTACTGTTTTAAAAACCTTTTATAGTCTGTCGAGAAAGTTGTTTAAAAAATAAATTTAAAGCAGCTCTCAATACCTCCATAAAACTGTTGTGTAAATCAATCATAAGCTTCATTAGCAATTGTTTATTAATGCCTTGAT